TATATATATATTACCTAAGAAATGTTTTAATTATATAGTGTCCATTCTCAAATAACTTTTAGCTTTTTTTTTTTTTTGACAGTAGCATATTTTCATATCTATAAAATGTTTGTCATTTGTTTGCAAAAAACTGATCGAGTCATTTTCGATCTTCTCATTTAAAATAGTTTTTATCCCCTAAAGAATTTAGAGTTATGATAGAAATTGGAACGTTGTTGTAGACTAGCGGCTCTCAACTTTAACCCTAACTTTACTTTCTATGTGCATTTAGATCCGACCTACGATTCCTAATTCATTTTTTTTTAAATTATTTCAAGTAAAATGCCATCGAAAAAAAATTATATTTTGTAAAAGAATATATAATATTTCTCAAAACAATATAAAGATCAAATTATATAAAGAAGCATGTATCAAAATATTGCATTAGTATTTCCTATCACGCTTTTCAAATCAGCATTAAAAAAAAACAACGATATGTTTCCCTAATAATCATTTTCAACGTTTATAGCAGTTATTTTAAGCTTTCATTTCAAATTAAGCAATAATTCGTTAAATTTTATTTATTTTCAGTTACGTATATACGCAAAAAAATATTACTAGAGTAGATATAGCACAAAGATTGAAAATTTAACTGCAAAACATTAAAACTTAATTAAAGAATATTAATCATAATACAATGAAAAATCTTCATTCCTCTAACTGAATATTGTAAAAATAGTCTTCCATAGGAAATAACGTTCACAATTACCTTAAGAAACTTCATTTATAAAGTCGGGGTTCCACCCAAAGAATGCCGATCATTTTGGGTTTCACAGCAGAAAACAAAATGAGTACCACTATTGTAGACAACCCATTTGTCGCCCATTCTCAGTGATGATGGGCTTTAAAAAAAGAATAATTTTCTTACCATTTGAGAAGCAAATCATATAAATCAACTTAACATAAAAAAATTTTTTAAGAACATGAGGAACTCCAATATTGGAAACCAATATGAGGAACTCCAATTAACTCCAATATTGTGTCTTCATCAGCCTTGCAGAACGGGAGAAATTTTCAACAAATTGCCGGATCGAAATTTTGCCAACCAGTTTTGTCATTGACATGGTGCGCAAGACATGTTGATTCTTATTAAACAAGAAAAACATCGTTCAAGAGATGAGATTCTCTTTATTGACAATTTCAGTGATATTTATAGGATCTCTCAGGTCCCGCAATTCAAGAGTAAACTCGCCAAAAATATCAATGGATAAAGAACCTAATGAAAAAAGAATTCTAAAAAACTATAAAACAGCTGCGGTCACCATAGCAGCACATGCGAAGACGACGCGTGAATACTGTCTGCTTTTTAACACTGCCAATACGTCTTCTCTATACACATTCGATAGTTCCTTTCTTGCTTGAACAGTATTTCTACCTTTTCGAAAGTAAAATATGCCGCAAATTCTGCTTTTCATATTCAAAATGTCGCCAACTACTGCTTAGAATCATTGGAACTTCTTTACACGCAAGTTTTGCTATATCAGCTGTAAAAATATATAATGATTATGCGGCTTAAGTTTGAAGTTACCTGCGTAAAAACACTAAAGTCTTTAGATGGAAAAAAACAAAATTACTCTCGGAGAAAACCAGTTATTTCTGTCTTCTTTATTGTTAAAAATATTTTTTCTTTAACTCTTTTTTTTTCTTCCTTCAATATACGTTTGTGTACAGTTTTCTTTAATCACACTCTTCTTATTATATATATTTAAAAAACTTATCAAAAATGCAATTAATATCTTTTTAAAATTCTTGTTTAAAATATAATTGATATCAATATATTTCTAAAACATTTGTCAAAAATGCAAAATTAATAACAATACAATATTTCTAAAATCCGTTTCAAAAATGCTAATAACACTAATATATTTCAAAAATTCATGTTAAAAATGCAATTAATGTTTCTAAGACTTAGGTCGAAAATGAAATTAGTATCAATATATTTCGAGAATTCGCGTCAAAAATACAATTAATATATTTAGTCATCGGATATTAAACAATTTAATGAAAAATACACAAAAAATTATGCGAAAAAATGAAATCTGCTATGTCATGATAAAAGAATTCAGGATTGAAAATTGAAATCCTGTTTGATGACCAGAGTAAATAGAGTGAAAGGTGATTGTTGAAAATAAAACCAAGTTTTTATTCTGACAATCACATTTTTTAATACAATTTTCTTTACTTATTAATCAAAAGATTTAGATTCTTCTTTTGCCCTTGCCTAAATATTAACTTTGAACAACTAATGTGTGTTCCTTGTTGACAAAAAAGGATTCTAAGATAAAAAATGACTAAAATTAAAAAGGAATGAGAGCATACAAGACGTTTATCTTATGGTTTTTTTAATATAATAATCATGTTTAAACTTTTATTGATAATCTTTTTATCAATACGTCATCCTTTTAAGCTTTGTTTTCGAAATAATTACTTTAAATTTTATATTTCCTAATTTAATTATCATTTATAAATTTTAGAAATACTATATGCAAATCTTTTAGGAATAAACATTTTACTATGACATTGCCATCCTGCTAAATTTTATTTCCTGAAGAATTTCTTCAAAAATGTATATTTCCTAATTTAAATTATATTTAATAAATGTTAGAGATGTGATTTTATTTCTGCATTTTTAACTTTTTTTATTGAAGCTAATATAATTACTCGTTACTTTCATTTAACTATTTCCATATTATTATTTTACTAAAAAAGTTAGTTATACACAGAAGATTTTATTTCAAATTTTTTTTTTCTTCTTTACTTTTATTTTGTGTATCGAATTAGTTGAGTTGTTAAAGAATATATTTGTTTCCTCATTATTTTTATTAATAAGATTGTTAAATAAAATTTCTAGAAAATTTCCTTTATGTTAATACAGAACAGGCAATATATGAGTGACATTGTTTAGGAATAAAATATTTTTTTCAACTATCCCTTGTACTTTAATTTAAATATTCCAACTATTACAATGTTAAATTTATAATTTATTTTTAAAAAATTGTAATCACAGTTGCATTTTTTAACATTAACTCCACTAATTATCACTATCAAGAGATTTGTTTGTCTTCTATCATTAAAATTATAATGCAGAATTTTTTTCATTAAATATGGATATTTCTTAACAATTAAAATTTTACCTTACAATTTTTTTATATTTTTAAACCTTATTTTACAATGGTAATTTAAATAAAGGAATTTTAATATGAATTTCATTGAAAAAAAAACGCTTAAATTTATACATTTAAAACATATATGCATTTTGGTTTCACATTGGTCAACCTTCATCAAAAGGTAAAACGGCCGGGATAGTAAAAAACAGATAAATTCTACAGATATTGACGCAAATGATAAATGAAGCATTAAAGAGATAAATATTGAGTTAAAAGTAAAACATTAAATTTACGCTAAGTATAGAACGTCAAAAAATATATATATATATATATGATTTCCAAATATGTGAAAATTATGGTATAGCAGCAGGATCATTACCACGTTATAATGAGTTTTTCATGTGGAGAAAAACCCAAGTTAACGCATGTAATACATTTACCGGGGTGATTGTGAGCCCAAGTCAAATTTCCGGAAAATTTCTTGAGTTAAAAAAAAAGCTTAAATTGAAAAAAATTTAAACAAGGTTTTTTTTCTTCCTTTTTCTCAAAATTTCTTAGTTTACTTAAAATATTTTTAAAATTTTACACATTTAAACATACCTATGATGGCCTTGGAGAAGTAATTAAAATTTACAAATATGTCTTTCTTTCTTGAGTTCATGATTGTAACAACTATTTACTGATAAAAAAAAATGAATATTAATCATGAATATAAGCTTATAAAGTATCTCTCTGGCTCTCCCTTACAAACAAATAANAAAATATTTTTTTCAACTATCCCTTGTACTTTAATTTAAATATTCCAACTATTACAATATTAAATTTATAATTTATTTTTTAAAAAATTGTAATCACAGTTGCATTTTTTAACATTAACTCCACTAATTATCACTATCAAGCGATTTGTTTGTCTTCTATCACATTGGTACACCTTCATCAAAAGGAAAAACGGCCGGGATAGAAAAAAAAACAGATAATTTAATTCTACAGATATTGATACAAGTGATCAATGAAGCATTAAAGAGATAAATATTGAGTTAAAAGTAAAACATTAGATTTACGCCAAGTATAGAAAGTCAAAATATATATATATATATGTATAATTTCCAAATATGTGAAAATTATGGTAAAGCAGCAGGATCATTACCACGTTATAACGAGTATTTGATATGGAAAAAACCCAAGTTAACTCATGTAATACATTTTTGTATGCTTATGGGGAGATTTTTAAACGTTATTAATGAAATTTATATTATTACAAAGAAAATTACTCTCTTAATTGTATAATTTAAACGTTGTTCCTGAAGAACTAGTTTATCGAAGAGCTTAGTTTATATCTCATAAACATCTAAAACAAAATTTAGAGCTTAATCTGTTGAGGCATTAAAGGTGTTAAAAAAATCCCGAATTCAGCATGTTAACCACGTATTTCCCATTGAAAAGAAAATTTCATATCGGCTTGTATTCTATTTTCTATTGTATTCTATATTCTATTCTCTTTCAACTGATACACAGATTCTAAATATTTCAGTTTTTACTATACTTTCAAATTTTTATCAATAATGGTCTAAAATATAAATTTTCTCTGCGTGTTACCAAGTTTTCATTTTATGTTGTTTTTTTATTCTAGATTTGGAAAACGAGCTCTTTTCTTCAGTGCCCTTTTTATGCAGAGCGCAGGTGGTGTAGCGACTGCTTTCTCGCCAAACTTTGTCAGTTTTGCCATTTTCAGGTGCTTAGTAGGACTAACTGTACCTGGTGTCCTCATCGCCCCATCATCTCTTGGTAAGATGTTTTATTCAGGTATCGATACAATTTTCAATAAACACTAAAGCATTCAAAACAACGCTGAGGTTTTCTCCCTTCTACGAGGTCTCGATCGAGCAAAATGTTCTATAGAAGATTTAATGTAAAAATGAGGCGTTTGAATTGAGTTCTATTGAAGAATTATAGCATTTCGAATGTTGAAAACTTTTTTGTGCGCTTTTTTTTTATAAACATTAGTTGAAAATGAAGTGAATTCAATTAAAAAAGCTGAAGATTAAAACTTCATTAGCGTCCTTATTGAAATTAAGGAAAAATTTAAATGCTGCGAGTGCTCGAATAGGTGCTCTTATTTTAAGACCAGTGTTCCCCAACCCCCGGTCCGCGGACCAGTACCGGCCGGTGGATCAAATAGTACCGGGCCGCCCATTTCATTGAAACTGAATTTAAATTCCTAGGTTCAGTACATAAAATTATTAAGATGAAGCTGAAGATCCTCTTAATTATAGTGTCTAAATACAGTTTAATAAATAAATTTACATTTATGAGAAATTTAGCCTCTTTGCATATTAATATAATTAAATCCTCGAGTAAAGCTACAAAAGAAAATCGTGAATTTGAATAAAAAATCGTTGGTATATGTGTTTAAAAAATCGCATAATGACTCAATGATTATTTTTCTTTTTTTTACAAATTTGTTGTCATTTTTATGATATTAAACAATATTTTTCTAAACTCTTACGCCAAGGAAAATAAAGAGTTTTAAGTGCCTTACACTGTAAACCAGGGTTCGTGATTTTTTTGATTTTTTTTAAAAAAATCAAAAGAATCAGATTTTTTTTATTTAAATCGGATTTTTTTGATTTAAAATCAGATTTTATTGATTTTTATTCAAATACACTGTAAGAACTTTAATTTCTGATTAAAAAAAATTATAAATGTGTAATTAAATTAACTTAATATTAAAACTATATTGTAACAATATTTTAGAAGCTCTAACTAAAATAATTTTTCATTATAATACATGGCTTTGAATGCATAACAACCATTATGAAACAAATGCTTGATTAAAATTTAAAGACTTAGATGAAATAGAGAATTTAAAGAATACTTCAGGGGTCTGTCTGGGTTTTTCTGAGAGGTACCTATTTTGTGGAAATTAAAAATTATATATAAAAATAAAATTTTAAGAAAAAGTATTTTGTGTGCTTATTTTATCATTTTTCCTAAAGTTGAATTTGTAAAAAGGTACCGTTAAACGGTGGTAAATTTGGCTTGGGCAGACCCCTGCACTTTAACTATTAAAATAAAGTTTCAGTTAGCTAACCATAACTTTAATTTAAAATTGTGATTTCTTTTTTTTTCTCTTGATTTTTAAAATGACAAAATAAATGTAGCAGACTGCTTATAAATGTAATCCTTCATCAAAAAATAAATAATATTTAATGTATGTATTTTTATATTAAAATATTCAATTTTAATTCTATATCAAAATAGATAAGTTAAGCTTTAAAAAAAATAGAAAATCTATGTACTCATTGGAATTTTATTTCTCACAAAATTTCTTTATAGAAAATCAGATAATGTCAAAGATACTGTAAGCATATTATGAGAAAAAAATACCAGTTAATAACCCTACTGCATCAAATAGACTTTGAAAGAGTTTAAAAGGATGAAAGGGAAGAATGACACTATATTAGGAAAAAAACATCTGAATTCATCAGCCCCTTTTTTTTCCTTTTTCTGTTTTTGGCATATTAGGGTAATTTCTTTTTAATATAACCTCAAGCTTCAGAAATATACATTTTCCACCAATAAAATATGTAGATTTTAATTCGCGCTTTTTCATTCAAAAGGTAGAATTTTAATTAACATTATTTGTATTATTTTTTGAAAAAAATTCATGTTTATTAATTACTTTCTACAGCTATGCAAGTCTATATTAAGACAGCATTAAATGTTTACTTTAATCTGTACTTTCAATCTCAAGAATCAAAAGATTTTTAAAAATGTAATTTCAAATGTGTTGGAATTTAACACACACCAAGAAAGTAATTTCGTTAACTAAAATTAATTAATGCAGCAATTTATTTAAATTAAATTTTAATACTAAGAAAAGAAAATAATAAAAGTATCAAAAATTTAAAACACTGTTTTTTAACTTTTAAAATCAATATATATATATATATAGATAAAAAAAAATTTTTGATTTAAATCGTGATTTAAATCAACGAACCCTGCTACAAACTATATTTATTATCTCTCTGTAAAGTATAATCTGGGCATTAGAACGGACAATTTAAAGATTTCAAAAGTTATTGAACTTTTTTTAAAAAAAAAAATCACCGATATAGTGATACTTTCTCAAAAATTATCAAAATCAATGAATAATTTACAATTTTTTTATGTGCCCAGACAATAAAGTATGTGGGCAACTTTTTCATACGTTGAAACATTAGAATAGAAACGCTTTTCGTTTTCATAAAAATTGTAGCTTTTCCTCCTATTGACATTTTAGTTTCAGAATTAATTTAGATGGCGCTGGCAACAGATAGACTTGCAAATTCATAGCAATTATGAAAATAGCATAGACTTTGCAAAATGATCTATTTCATGTGACGACAGAGACTTTGAGAAGCAGCCTTAACATGTCGAAAGTAAATTCATTGACTAGATTATAAAACTGCTTTAATATAAAAGTTCAGCCGCGTAAACGAAGATTTGAATACAAAATTACAATATTTACTAATTAAATATTAAGATTCGAGCCAACTACAAATGCCAGCCCACTCCAGTATCTCGTTTTTTTGTCATTTTATCGATAATCCATTTCCACTTGCAGCCCTTCAGGTCATACGAAGGAATTTACAATCAAAACTTTTTATAAGTTAAATGAATTCCAATAGCTGTAACAAAATACTTTTTTTTTCAATTAATTCTTTGTAATAATACAATGTATTAATTGTTCTTTGTATAGTATTTCAAGTTTTAAACAAAGATTTGAATATAAAATTACAATATTTACTAATTAAATATTAAGATGTGCGCCAACTACAAATGCCAGCGCACTCCAGTATCTCGTTTTTTTTTTTTTTTTTTTTTTTTTTTTTTTTTTTTTTTTNTTTTTGTCATTTTATCGATAATCCATTTCCGCTTGCAGCCTTTCAGGTCATACGGAGGAATTTACAATCAAAAATGTTTACATGTTAAGTGAATTTCAATAGTTGTAACAAAATACTTCTTTTTTTTCGATTAATTCTTTGTAATAATACAATGTATTAATTGTTCTTTGTATAATATTTCAAGTTTTAAGCAAAGATTTGAAATTACAAGCCTGCATTCTATCAGTCTGAAGTTTTTTATTGAATGTTTATGAAGTAGGATAGTACACTCCTGGTTCTCTGTAGTTGTTAGGATATCTCTTAATGAAATAACCGCATTCACAGCACAACTCATACTGGGCTGTTTGTATAGCAGAAAATGTGTAAAAGTGGTAGTAAAATCGTTTCATATCTAGCTTGTTTTCGTGAGAAATAAAAACCTTGACTATTAAGGCATAATAAAAGTTATAATTCATACAAGACCGCTTCGTTGAAAAATAACTGTCAATAAGTCTTGATCATCTCGGACATTTGCTCCTTGCAAAAAAGAAATTTATTTTACTACCACTTTTATACCTTTTCTATTATACAGACAGTCTTGATAACCTTTTTACTAGGCCAGTTTCTTGAACATAATGTTAAAACAGCAAGATAAACACTCTTCGTATCGGCCGTATTCGTATCTGCCAGCAATCGCTGGAATTTAAACTCTGGTCACCTCACTGGGAGACGAGAGCTTTATCCTCTGAGCCTCCCCCGGCTCATGAGATTGGCAAAGAACTGCAGAACAAAATGACGGAGAAACGTATAGTAACTCTTGATCAGAGATGTCATAGTACGGCACTAGAGGAATTTACTTTTTATAGATTGCCTATTCACGGCAATTGAGCCAATACTTTTATTTATCTAAATTCGCTTAATTTTGCGTTTTCTGATAATTATTATCGAACTATTCATTTAAATTTACTCAGAAGAAGCTGTTCTAACAAATTTACTTATTTGGTACACAAATTGCCGAGCTCTATAAATCAATCTTCAAATCAATCAACAATGATAAAACAGCCACTTCTTTCTGACCAGCTTATTTTAAAATGTTCAATTATAATTATTCGAAAAACATTAAATATAATTTAAGAAAAAAAAATTAAAATAATTTATTTTAACGAAACGTTTGGTCTGAATACAGAACAGGAACTGCCCATAGAAAATAAGTACCCCTAGCAGCGTACTATGACATTTCCAATCGTGGTTCCATGTTCTTGACGTACCCTACTTACTCTTAAAGCCTGTATTAATATTTATGAAACACCATGCTTAAATAAATATAATTTATTTGAACTAGCGATACGTGTAATATCGTGAAATACTTGTTGTCTAAATTTCATGACATTTATACGACTATACGACACCTTAAACTTTCCCTCTCAAATTAAAAAAAAAAAAGATTTAAAAGACCACGTATATGAAGAAATTGAACAAAACGTGAAAGAAAACTAAAATATTAAATCGAACACTGCAAATAAATAAATGGTCATATAATGCAAATACATGCAAAAGCAACAGTGCTTAGTTAACATTTTTCTGGTGTTACACCCAGTCAAAAATAGTAAACCAATTCCCAGACTCGTGCATTAATTCGTGAACCTCTCAGATTATCTCGCGAACAACTTTGTTTTTATTTTTTACGTCCACGATAAGTGAAATCTGTCGCAGAAAACGAAAAGTTAGTAGAAATTTTCTCGGCGTGTAGTTTTTCAATACAATCATATTGTTTTCTTCTCATACGTGCTATGTTTACAAGCAGAAGTTAAGAAACTTTGTATCCTAAAATGTCACAGTAAATTACTTACAGAAACGAAAACAATTTCATTTGAAGTGTTTTTTAAGTAAATTTCCCACAGGCATCTTATTCGAGGAATAGGGCTTTTGGTTTCGATTGATGTTTCGTACCTTGTAATAAACTCTTTATAATCCTATGTTGAGATTGAGAACTTGAAAAGACTTATCTTTAGGAGAATAGACAAAACTATATAAATGAAGTCAGCAATATATTTTTCTGCAGAAAACCTATGTTTCTTTAGTTAAAGTTCATCATTAAAATGCATAATTTTCAGCCTGATGTAATTTTATTTATAACCATCATTTTACAGCCGACCTAATTTTTCGGGTTTACTACTTCTGATGTTCAACTCCTTAGCCTTGTAATTTTGAACCCAATCCAAAAGACAAGGGAACTCTTGGATCAAGTTTTGGGAGAAATTCGCCATCGTGGAGGACTTTTTGATGGAACTAACTCTCATTTGCGTTACATGGAGAGGAAAACCTTAAAACGACCCATGGTTAGCCTGACGGCAAAGGGTCCCGAACCCATGACCCATCTACCACTGAGAATATTTTGTGCCAGCACTGTGGTCGGCGCAAACCGGATGAGGAATTCGTATCGACCAGCCATCGCTGGGATTCGAAGCCGGTTCACCTCTTTGGAAGACGAACACTATCCCCTGAGCCATTACGGCTCAGTCTGATGTAATTGTCATATTCGGCACGTACGCTCATTTATCACCCTTATTTTTTAAAAATAACACCAAAAAATATAATAAAAGCATTTCATTGTTTGGAGTCAAAAATCCGGGTCTTAATTTACAATGATAAATAAAACTTTATACTCTAATTTATTACTAGCTGAATATCAGCTTTTAGTACGGGAAGGAAAAGTATTGAACATATGTGTATAAGTACTGAACATACGTGTATAAGTACTGAAAAAATAAGTACTGAACGTGCACAAAACTGTAAGACAAATACCGATACTAATAATAAATCTAAAATAATTACTTTTTTTTGCATATTGTTTGTTACACTTCTCGAAACTTTAACGTAATTAAATTAATAAAAACACGCATATTTAGTATTTCATACCATCAAAATAAGGATTAAATGTATTTAGTATCATCTGGTATAATGCTGTTGCTTTAGGCAATTAATAATATTTAAAATTTACCACAATCAAGCTGCTTTCTTCTGCACTTATTGTGTAGGTCGAGTACGTAAAAAATAAACGAAATATCTTGAATAACTTTTGATCTAATGATCGGATTTTTACGTACTTTGAGCGAAATCAGAAATCAAACACAAAAACGTACTTTCTGTGAATAACAATTTTTTTTTCCTGTGGATGATGAGTTCTGACCCCAATATATTAGAAGTAACCGCAATTAGGGAAATATGGTCCTAAATGCTTGGTCTGGAGGGCGGTCCAAAGTTTGCACCCTTATATTTTAATTTTATTTTTTGAGAATTTCGCCAAATTTTGAGAACTTTTTAAGCGATGTGAAAAATTTTTGGACATGATTTTAGAATTCGTTTATCCAAAGAAAATTCCAACCAAAAAATAATGATGTTTTTAATACATAATTAGAATATTGTACATGGAAAATTTTAGTGAAAAGAAAGTACTAAACTTTAATTCTTCAAAAATATCGATAAAGCTTAACAGAAGTAACGTAACCAATGAGCGAGAGAAGTAAGCCAACACCTCCTAGAAGAAAGAAGGCTTCAGCACGCAGAAGGCTGAATTTAGCAGTCCGACCTAATATGAACTGCGCAGACGCGAGTATAAATTGCGAAGTGGATGATAAATAAGAAAGATGTCAGTACGTTTGGGCTGCGCAGTGGTGGTAAATACGAAAGATGCCATTACGTTTGGACTTCTAAAGGCTAAATTTTTTTGTTTATGGTAACCCGTGCTGAGGCCTTCTCTTTTCTACGAGATAGTGAGCAAGCTCGACTTTCAAAGAGTTGTTGTAGTTTCATTTACGTCCCACTAGAGCTGCACAATAGACTATTGGCGACGGCCTGGAAAGCATCCCTGAGAATGATCCGAAGACATGCCATCACAATTTTGATCCTCTGCAGAGGGGATGGCATCCCCGCTTCGGTAGCCCAACGACCTGCACGCGAAGTCGATTACTTTTCGGTAGCACAGTTTAACGAGGACCCATACCGCACATCCTCGGTCCCTACGATGACTGATCCAAGTGGTTCACCCACCCGCACACTGACCGCAGCCAGTGATGATTGACTTCGGTGAACTGCGACTTTCAAAGAGAACTTCAAAGCAGTTTCGGGGGGGGGGTTGGTGTGCTTCAGCGAGCAAAAGGCAAAGTCTTCTAGTTAACATTTTTTCTTTTAAACATTCCTCATACTTCTTGTAACAATATAAATATTTTTCAGCCCATGAATTAAGCGGCTGGAAGTTACATCCAAAAGTCAGCCTTTTGTGTGCAGCTTCACGTAGTCTTGGAATGGCTCTGTTAGCAGGAGTAGTGCTCTTTGTTGGAGACTGGTCAAACTTGGCATTGGCGAGCTCTATTCCTTTTATGGTATTCTTTATGTACTGTTGGTAAGTTTCATAACTTTTTGCTCAGTTTGAAATAATTTTTGCATTAGATTATCCTTACGCTGTGTTTAATATGTTTATTTTTAATTCAACTTAAAAACTGGCATACCCAAAATCAATTTATGCATGCTGATAAACTCAATCGTATTCTGAAAGAGGAGTATATTGAATACCTGTAGGGACTCGAACCGCGTTACTCATCCAGAATGTTACTAAGAGAAGAGTGACATCTCACCCACCGGAAAGTGTGTTTTATTGACGGAACAGATGAACTGTTAGCTTATGGTTTCCTTGGATGGCAATTAGCTAGCAACAGATTTTTTCAGATTCCTGGAAGATCATCTACATACATTTAGAATAGGCAAACTGCGTGATTTGCTCCTCGCAAAAAATATGGAGCTTTTGAGGTTGATTTTGGGGTGTAAATGAAATTGAATTTGAAGTATATTGGTGTGGTTAATTTTGTTGAAAAACATAACCTCGTGTGCATTTTTTTATACTTTTCACACGTTCAAACTCTCGTGTACCTGGCGGATATGAACCTCTTGTTTTTTTGGTTTTTTTTACATTTAAAGTTAATTTTGTTTTACTTTCAAAATGTGTTTTATTTCACACTTCAGAAGCTATAAATAAACAACTTTGCATTTTTCATCATTAAAACAACCTTTTTAAATTTACAATTAAATATATTTGGTTGGAATACTATCAATATCAAACCGATCTCAAGTATAAATAAGAAATTTTCACACACCCCATTAAATACTTCCATAGTTTTATTTGAAATTATTCGGAGTTAAAATATACTTAGTTGAAGTGTAGAAAAAAATAAAATGTACACTTCAAAAATATCCTCTCTGAGCTGGTTGCGGTAAGGTAGATTTCTATCAATTTCAAAACAACCTTTAGAGAGTAAAACAACTTCATACATCGTAATTATAAATCTTGGTGGGGTTGATTTTTAAGGTTTTTGAAGTCTGCTTCAATAAAACCTGAAATCAACTTTAACACCTTAACAAAACTTAACACCTTAACAAATAAACATCAAAATACCTTAAATTTTTGTAAGGGCTCGTTCTCTTTTTGATACTGTGTTTCACCGCAATCTTAACTTCATGAAATGTAAGAACGTATTTTATCAAACTCTGCAGAAATTTATAAAATCAGTAGAAGTAATGTAAAAAATTCTGTTAAGTAGCAAAATAAGTTTTACTAAGATAGCATAACAAATTCGGTCGAAAATTTTAGAGAAATTCTGAGGAAACTGGAAAAAATTCAGTCGAATAAAATAAACATCTGCAGGAAAATAATATCCGCAGGAACAATAGAATAAAACTAGAAATAATAAAATAATTTTTTCAAAAATAGTAAATTAAATTCTGCATAAATAATTAATTTATTCTTTCTCGAAAATTAATTTAATTCTTCAGAAACTAACTTTAGAAACTTTCTTATTGAATTCTTAAATTCAATCTTGTATAAATAATAAACAATCCATAAAAATAGTATAAGTTTTGAAAAAAAAAAAACTCTTAATGAAATCCGTAAGAGGTGCAATAATTCCTATTGAAATGAACTAAATTTTGTGTAGAAAAAAAATAAATTCTGACTTTCGCAGAAATACTTCAATAACTTCCGTAGAAAAAGTAACGTGCTTAAACGAAACGGAAAAGCATGTAGAAATATTATAAATTCTATTCATAGACAAATTTATTAAACTGTTTGAATTTTTAAAGAAAGTAAAATAATTTCTGTAGAAATAATCTAATATTTCGAAGTAATGAAATAAACACGATATCAAAAATATACCAAATTCAATATAGAGAGAAAATTAAATATTGCAGAAATAAATAAGCAATTAAAGAAAAACAAAATATTGGAATTTTAGATACTTTTTTCATATTATTCATACTACTATGTCTGTTTCAGAATTACATTTCTAATTTTAATAGCGTCGAAACAATTTTCCGTTGGGTATTTTCGCAAATAAAATGCAGTTTAAAAAGTATTTGATTATATAAAATTATTTCTATACAAGAAAAATTTCCTTTCATATTTGAATTAGTTTAACACCTTTCTGAGTAAAATTTATTTAAATTATGCCCATTTTTCAGATTTTAATAAGTATTTTTTTTAAAAAAAACAATACTTTAAGATATAATTCTTGAAGCAAGCCAATTAATTTTTATTTGAAATAATTTTAAACTTGTGACTTTTTGTATCGAAATAAAAATAGTTTTTTCCTCTCACGAAACTTTGGCGTAAATTTCCCAATGGATTTTAAACGAATAAGATTTTGTCTTGAAATCGCTAAGAAGATTTCTTCTTGTCAAGAAACACGGAGTTTCCATTATATTTTATTTTTGTTCTCAATTCTTTTTCCTAGCAATTTACACTCCAAAAAACGACGAAGATCCGCGATAAAAACACTTTAAATTCTTTGTCTAAAACCCCGGATGATCAAGCTCAAAATGGCAATTGAATCAACAACTAGTTTACGTGCACTTAGTAACTATTTCAATGCGATGAATTAAAAAAAATAAGATTTTTTGTTGCTCTCATTTTTCGTATTTTTCCATTTAAACCAATCCAAAGTTTGCTTCTTTTATTTGTCACACGTTGGCATAGGGTTGATATATGTGTAGATATAGCTTCTAAGTTACAATTCAATATCTCCAACATAAGACAGGACATTTTACAAATTTATTATAATTTATTGAAACGCAAAATTCATTTCAAACTTCATATTAAAAAATGAGCGCCAATTTGTTTTAAAAAAACTCGCGTACGACAAGAAATAGTTATAAGAAGATCTGAAGTCCAAAATATATTAAGACAAAATGTGATTATTATTATAACTTTTTACATTTACAGTTTAAGAACTCTTTTACCAAAATATGCTAAGTTTCGAGTAATCGTATCATTAACAAAAAATAGGACAGTTTTTGAAATTTTTATATTACTTTAGAACTTCAAACTCGTTTAAAAATATTTCATATTAAGAAAATGAGCAACAGTTTGTTTAAAATTCTCAAAAAAGTAAAGAAAGATTTTTGAAAGCACTTAAAAAGAGCTAGTTCATTTCAAAACATGCTAAATTAAAAGCATGCAAAACAACAACAAAAAATGAGACAGTTTACGATTTTTTTTATATAATTTTTTGTAATGCGGAATTCATTTAAAACTTAAATCATATTAAAAGCGGAATGTCAATTTATAAGAAAAACATTATGTATACCAGTCAATATTTATGAAGAAAGAAAACTCGTGATGAACTCGTTCGGACACAGAAGCGTACTATAAGCTACTAATCAGGAAAAAAAACCACTTCCTGTTTTTTTAAAACAGTAAAATGATAAACATACTTGCAAGATCCTGTTTTAATACGATATTAATAAGAAACTTTATATTTCAATAAACATTTAAATAACAAAAAATATTATTTTCAATAAGATATCAATAAGAAAATATATCTTCTATTTCCTAAAACAACTAAATGAGAAAAACAACGTACGATTCTGCTTTAAAATGTTATGAATAAGAAAATATTTTCTATTTTTCAATGCATCTAAATGGTAAATATATCTGTAAGACTCTGCTTTAATATTATATTAATAAAAAAACTTTATTTCGAAACAATTAAATGATAAAATATTTGTAAAATTATATTTTATTAAGCTATTAATTAGAAAAAAATACCTAATATTTTTCAAAACATTTAAATGATGATATTTGTAAGATTATGTTTTAATAAGCTACTAATAAGAAAAAATACCCTCTATTTTTCAGTACAGTTAAATAATAAAAAATATTTCTCTTATTCTATTTTATTTTTATACCTATGTTCATTAGGATTAAATTAATTATGTATGTTCAAGATTTCTTAAAAATAAAGAAAAGCAATTGCTTGTTATTTTACACTCGACCACTTCATTTTATTTTATCAAATTTTAAAAAAAAATTTGTTCTGACTTGAACAGGTAGAGTAATTAAGATAAATAATTACGTCTTTGCATCATTTAGGTCTTAAGAAACGTTTAGTTTCCTAAGAACTAAGTTTAATTGTTCTGAAGTTTGAATGAAAAATTACATTATTCTGCAGCAAAAATAATTATCTATAGTAATACCTTATTTTAGAAAATCCTTTTCAAACTCATTAAATTTTGATTTAGTTTTTGTTTGATTGGTTAACCATCGTTAAAAATTGTACATTAAAATATTATATTCTAAATTTGTTTGAACTAAAAGTATGCTTAAAATACTCTACATTAGAAATGTTCTTTTTCTGTGACATTTTGGTATAAGAATTTGTAACATAATATACATAATGTGTTTTTATTATTAATTTTTTTAAAAAAAGAAATGAAAAATACAAAGTAAAACATTTTGAATTTTTCTTTTTTTTTGTACTGGCAACAAAAAAACTGAAAACTTCTAAATCAGTGTTTCTTAACCTTTTTATATAATGAACCCCTTTTAAAAATTTTTAAGAGGTCACGGACCACCCCCCTGTGAAAAAAATAATTGCAAAAAGACATCCATAATTAGAAATCACTTAATTTTATTATTTTAATAGATTAAAAAATTTTTATAATTAAAGTTTTTAATGTTAAGGTTGCTGCTGCTTTTCCTTAATTAACAAATTGAATTGGGGGACAAGTTGAACATTAGATAGATTTCGATGTTTTGTTTTTATTGTCATGAGTGTGGAAAATCCCGCTTTGCAAACATACACCGTAGCAAACGGAATTATAGCTGCCATAGATCTCTTTACAAGCAATGGGTAGGCCTCCAAACGTTTTAAAAATTAGGAGTAGTTAGCGGACCCCCAAAATATGACTCATGGACCCCTTAGGGGTTCATGAACCACAGGTTAAGAAACCCTGTTCTAAATCAAGCAGGCAGTCACAAGTTTGGAAGCTTAAATGTACATAAATACAAATTTCTGAATGAAAACTAACACTAACTGAACTATAAATTGGGCGAGTACTGAAAGCTTAAGAGTG